TCAGAACCACGGGTTAAAAGCTGCACAGAAACTGTTGCCACTGTGTAAACATGAGGGAACCTCTTCCTTTTTTAACCCCCTCATGACATTTTAGAAGCCAAGATGTCTCATTCTGAGCGTTTTATCAAGAATAATATACTAAAAAAAAAGAAAAAGCTCCACTTACTTGACTGAAGACATATAAATGGTACATATAAACGGATCAGAAATCAATTAAAGGTCAATAAAGGCTGAGCTCGTTACAGGCAGTCACTGTTAGATGTGTAAACAGAAACATAGTTTATCCCCCCAACAACAAATTAGAGTATAAATATCCACTCATCATTAATATTGTCTTTATATTTTAAATTCTATTCTCAGTCTCTTGTATTCAGCACAAACTAACTTGAGGCCTTCTACAGTCCAGACCATTTGGACAGTTTTAAATCTGAGTAGAGTTACATTAAAGTAGAAAAAAAAACTGCGTGGGACACAGCGCACTACGTTTAATAGTTCAAATGTAACTGGACACTTTGCTTTTAAGTGTTTCTTGAACAGCTGTGTGTTGTTCATTGTTACTTCGTGCACTCATGCAGCTCTGAGTTGCTTGAGATGTCCGTCAGTGTGAGGAGTAAACGCTGCATGTGACCATAATGGTGGAGACAACAGCAATGGAGCTAAAAAAGCAACAGCAGAGATCCAGAAAAACTTGAAAATTTCAAATGTCCTCATGAAGAAAAGCCCTCCATGACTGAGCAGCAAGTGAATCATTTTCTCCAGGATGCAGGCGAACAGGTTTTCTTGTCAGTGACTGAGAGACGACTTCAGTACCGTAAATCAGAAGATTCACCGCAAGATGGAAACACCTGGGAAGTCTCCAAAACACAAAGCTGCAGGTTGCAACAACATACAGAAAGTAACCAGTTCTGGACTGATAAAGTCAAAGGCCATTAAAATGGAGTGCAAAATGTAAAGAGAAACGAGCTGAGAAAAAGAGGAACAGTTTGTGATTTAAAGCACCTTTTCCTGTCAAAAATGGTGACGTCTCCGCTATTTGGTTGGAACTGTTACAGGACAACAATCCTGAAAATACAGGGAAATAACAAAGGAGCTTTCCAGAGTGAAGAGCTGGAACGTCCCCGAATGTCTGAGTCAGTTTCACCTGCTGAAGACCAGAGTGAAGGCAGAGAGACTGAGGGTAGCAGTGGAACATACACAGCGCCTGGTGGTTGGTAGCATTACTACTGAGGATTTCTAACAAAGTATTTAACATGAACAGTTTGTGTGACTTCATGTGTGTCTGATCAGTTACTTTTGAAATGTTAACTTTGTGTTAAAACTGCTATATTTCCCACACAGTTCTTTAAATATTGTCAAAACCTACCCCAAATAAACTTGAAACTTGTAATATGTGGCGTAATCGTTAAGTCCCAATTGAATAAACTGAAGCACAATGATTTGTTTTTGTCCCTTTGGATTATTTCAGTGACAGAAAAACACATTCTGTTTGACACTGAGCTGGACAGGAGAAGACTTCAGAGCAAATGGTTTGAACAATGACGTCCGATTGCTGCTCAAAAGTCTTTTGTCCTGTTTATTACGAAACAAAAAGAAAGTGTTTTGAACAAAATGCAGCTACAGCCTGTAGGATCATCAGCGCTGCTGCTGGTCTCATTACCAAACCAAGACAAACAGAAAGCAGTTCTCACACCTCTCCATTTGGACCGATCATTTCTCAAGTCAATCACAACAGGTTGGCGGGACACAAATGCACACACATTCAAAGAATGTTAAAACAAACGTTGACTGTTTACACTCGGCCTGTTGTTGTTTGTGTACTTTCTCTCAGTTCCAATTGTTGTTGTTGGGTCTGTAAATCACAGCTTTTGTCTGCAGCAGCACTACAGACGATATCAAATATGCTTCATGTCATGGATCAGTGTTACTCAAATGGTTATTAAACACTCACTCTGACCAGCAAGTGTTCAGTTCTTACCTTTGACTACATGAAATAATTAAATATTTATGATGCAGTTTTCTTTCATTTGCCACTGAGGTCAAAGACTGTTATAGCAGTTATTTTAATTAAATATATGAAAACCTGACCATTTTTTCCAACAAATAAATGATCTTCACAACTTCCTCTGCAGTTATTAGACCACTGGCATCCCACCAAACGATGGACACATAAACATAAGCCACAGTTTAGATCTACATTTTAAAGTTGCTTTTATTAAAGAGGTGAATCTAAGGTTTGCATCATTTTCAAATATGTGAGAACTGTACAGAAAAATATATAAATAAGCACAATAACAGTGTACCACTCAAGTTTAAGCCAAATTGTAAAGCCCACTGTGGCATTAAATGAATATGACAAGCGGATGCTGCCCCCTGCTGACCACAGAGCGCAAAAGGTACATTTTTTCATGTCACATTTCAAACACAAAAAACTCTCAAATAAAAATAGAAACAGAAGTAAAGATTGAAAACATCCACTAAAATACATCATTAATTATATGCCACTAACACAAAACTAAAAAGTTTTGGGGGTTTGTTGCTGCTGGGACAGATATGTAATAAAGAAAAAACTAATTGCAGACAATGTTGTCAGGGCTTTGTTTTGGGCTCAGTCATAAGCTATTTTTGAGTAAATATTTCTATTATGCATGTCTCTGATCTACTGTAGCACTATTAGCAGAACACAGAGCACACAATAGGGGAAAAAATTCCAGAGTTCATGGCTGAACATATAAGCTCATTACCTTACATTAGGTTTGTTGGACGCAATAAAAGAATACAATTGTTCTTATTTATAGAATTTTAATTTTGTTAAATTTACATTATTGTATTTTTATGTTTTAATCATTTATTTACTGTTGCATTTCCTCATTATTATTAATCATAATTGTATTTTTTATTATGTCTAATACTATCATTATCTTCGGTTTAAATTAATTTAAATGTTTTATTTTGACCCTTAACAAGACGGAGAGCCTGCTCATTTTGAGGATCTCTAAACTGTGTTCTTTAATGTTTCTACCTGTTGCGTTGTTGTACCGTTCTTTAACTTGTCCTGTTGATCAAATTCACAGTGGAAATGTATGGTGTACTTTTAGGTCACCATAGTACGAATTTTATATGGGTCTCCTTCGGGTACATGTCCATGGGGGCGCTTTTCCCTCAATAGATCCCGTCACTTCCCAGCATCGATGCTTAACAGATGCGCCACGACTGTGCCACTACACACCATCTAAAACAAAGGCGACAGGTGCTCTTCTTCATCAGCAACAAGCCNAAAACAAAGGCGACAGGTGCTCTTCTTCATCAGCAACAAGCCATGTATGGCATTGTTCACACAGCACATTGTTGTCTGCCATGATTAAGAGAATTAATGTGTACATTAAAGCAGCATTGGACGGGTCCTCGCACTTCCACACGTGTCGGACACGGCGCATGTCGGGGTTGTGGCAGAAATGCGCTGCGGTAAAAGTGACAATCACCGAACCGTAACCCTTTTGTCATAAAACAGTAAATGCAGTTAAGTGTCATAGAAGTGCAGAATGCTGTTGTTGTTCCGTTTGTCCACTAGATGGAGATCTGACTTCATTCAATCCTTAGTCCTCATTGTGTCTCCTCAGTAGTGCAGGAGCAAGCTGCAGCCAGAGCGGTTTAGAGGGCACGCCGTTTGATGAAACGTCACAATTTTTGGTATGAGTCATCATCAACATGTAAAGGCTCAGGTCATCGCATTTGAGGCTAATACGCTCAACAGGCTAAAAATAGCACATGAAAGTGTAAAACATGTTCTTTCTTGTTGCCAGCAGGTGGTGCTATGACTGTGAATGGATATTGGCATATAGGTTTCATCCGGACAGGACTGTGATCAAGTATGTAAAGTTTTAGGCAGATTGGAGCAGGTACAGGGTCATTAGACACGCTTCCTTTGTGATGGCAAATCATAACAATTCAGAGGGCCGCCACGGCCACGCCCTCAGACTTTTGCAGATTATTTTTGATAACATTTTACCTTCAAGGCGCATTCTACATGCTACCCAAATTTCAGCACTCTGTGACCTACCCCCTAGGAGGCGTTAGCTCAGGCTGGACAAACGAACAACCCAAAATGGCAGACTTCCTGTTGGGTTTAGGGTATGGCTCTCACTGACTTTTTTGTTCGTCCTGACTTCCTCCATATACCTACCAAATTGCGTAAGTCGAGGTTAAACGTACTTCAGATGGGACTCCGTTGAAATTTTCAAGGTGGCGGTGTGGAGTCAGTTTGACACTGACATGTCCAACTCCGTTAAAATATCTAAATTTTCGCCAGTCCTGATGTGTGTGGCGATTTTGGTGAGTTTTTGTGCATGTTTAGGCCCTCAAAATCGCATTTCAAAAGTCGGTACAAAAATTATCACAAGGGTTACACTAGGGTCGGAGGCACTGCAGTACTCAGACCCTAGTTATTAGGAGTGACACAAATTTCTGCATATAGAGCGCCCTCTGCTGACAGATACTGTGTCTTAAAATTCAAACTGCTGGGAGGAAGTATGTAACATCATCTGCTTAAGTGAAGTTAACTAGTCAGTCAGCATGTCATTCTCATCACAGTCAATGGGTGAAGGGAAGCAAAGGATTTGTTGTTTCCTTAAAATAGTGACCAATATAATTGTTTTGGTGGAACTTTAATATGCAGGAAGAGGAGTGCTGTCAATAATCTACTGCAAAAATATAGCAGGACTGCCTGACTACACAATCTAAATCCTCTGCAAATGTGACATTTTCAGTGTGGTAGGTTGCTGCTTGGAGGCTGATGTTGTCTCTAATCGTAAAGACAACAGCAACACACAAACAGCAAAAGGAAGGACAAAGGTGGTCGAAATGATCGGCAGCTTATATCCCCATCCTACACCTGGTGAGTCAGACTAGTTGAAACTTAAACCAGCCTACAGTGAATAATGTAGCTGCTGACTTTGTGTATTACTTTTGCGTATTACAAGTATTCAATAATCCATCAAATTGCATGTTTTTGCATCATGTTTTACTCTTTTTTTTCACAGGGAATGAACAATATTGTTACTGTCATGACCAGCAGCACCAAAAAACTGGCGTCCCACCTGACGAGACTCCCTTGGTGACTTAGGTAAATGTCTCAGAAGGCCTTCGTTTGATTTTGAGGCATCAGTTCACTGGTGATTTATTATTTCTAGATAAGAGGAAAATGGGCTTAAAAGCTGCTGTATATACAGTGGGTGAAAATATTGTGGCCAAGTCTGTCTCCTAAATTATCTCATCTTTTACAGACAGACTAAACACAGAGAAGATTAGAAACAGTCTGGAGGAAAGTGTGACACAGATTTTAAACAGAAATCAGTTCAGTTCAGTGAAGTGCTTTGCTGCATACCAGCACCTCCCTGACGGCCTCCTGCAGTTTCTTGACGGACTCCATCACCAGTCCGAAGCTTTCATGAAAGTTGCCGTTGCCTTCCTTCACCCAGGCAGCTTGCAGCTCTCTGACCCACATCAGGATCCCGTCCAGCTGCTTCTGCACCTCCTTCTGCTCCTCCAGCTCAGCTAGCAGGGCCTGTCTGGCACAAACTTCTGCTTCGTAGGCTCTCTGAACGTCTGCCAGGGACGACTCCAGCCTCATCACCTCCTGGAGGAACAGTCACATCACAGATAAATACATCAGTTTTTAACTTGTTTTCTGTGACATCTGCAGACATAAGAAAACTGAAAAAAATATATTTATAATCCTATGGTGATTGTACTGCTTTTTACTGCATCTTGTGGTCTTCACTAGTGGATTGAGATAAACAACCAACAACCATTTATTATAATGTGACTACAGCGTCATGACAATTAGGTCATCTCCATGAAAACTGAGCAAACTCCAGCCATTGAAGACTGTGACATGCAGCTGAAAGCTCTGAAAAAACTAGTAAGTGAAGCTTTGAATTTCAACCTTATCCATTATCATTTCCAATATTCATTCAACCTTTATTCAAATATTAAGGAACCATTGAGGGTGTGTCTTCATTTTCAGTAATGTTGAGAATACAAAGTAGATCAAGGAGAATAAACAGAGGTATAATTACAAAAATACAAACCATAAAACACTGTTAAAACACATTTAAAAGCAATGTAGTCTGTAATCATAGTTCTACATAGACCTTGTGTTAAGTTTTTCATGCAATAGGCAGTGAATTAATTGTCATAGTGATTGGTAAACTGAATCAAGAGCTTAATTTAGTGTCACTTAATGATATTGCGTGTTGGAACAACATTTTTAAATTTATTTTACCAGGTAAAAATGTTTGAGAACTACTTCTCATTTGCAAACATGACCTGGCCAAGAGGCGCCAGCAGAACAAATACACATGTAAATTACAAATAGACACATAAACATAACATAGAACAAAATTAAACAAGTAAGAAGCATGGGGGCATATGCATGTGAGGGGAAAAGATGTGCACGAGGTGTAAGAAAGTGTGTTTATATATAAGTATGTAAAAATGAATGTAATATTACATGCTGCTATTATTTTTTTTGGTTCAGTATATTTTTAGTGTGTGTTTATGGGCCGGGCCAGAGGTTGTTTTGGTCAACACCACTGTCTGTACTTCATCAACAGTATTTTCTATATAAACATAGAATATTGAACAAGCACCTACTACATGTGGTTATTGGAGAATTGTGACCAGCACCAGTAAAACAAACCTGTCAGTGCTCTCTGGTGGACAAACTATGGAATGATATCACTGTTTATATTAATTCCTTGGCCTCTTCTGCGACTTTTACTTGTTGATACTCATGAGTTTCATCTATACGAAGACATAAGAGCTAAAGTCGGACAATATCAGTGCAGACAATATGTCGCTAACAGAAAAGCGTTTGAAGGTAGTTTTTTTTTTTTTATGAGGGATCAATGACAACAACAGAGATTAAGCTTTGAGTGTGTGTCTCCACATTGTGTGAACACTGCAGGACCTGCACAGATAACACACTGGAGATGGCTGTTCAAACAGAGTAAAGACACTGAAAGCTAAACTCAAACCTTTAACCTCAGACACCAAACAACACAGACTTGTCAGTGTCCTCATATTGATGGACAGCGCTGACATTGTTGTGACTAAGAGTATGAAACAGCAGCTTCTATATGACCCTGGTGCTGTGAACACTGAACCCACCTGTACGGCCTGCGGGTGGTTGTGGTGGGACTGGTCTTCGGGCAGCAGGACGTTTGGCGGCACTGAGAAGCAGCGGTTCATCAGCAGCGCTTCTATCCGCTCCGACAGCAGCTTGAACTGCTTTTCGAGGAACTGCTGCAGCTTGCGGCTGCACTCTCTGGCCCGGGACCGGAGCAGCTCCTCGGCCGCGTCCGACTCGCCTTTACTCAGCTGCCGCACACACACCTTCTCCACGACGGGTAGGATGTCGTAGAGGCAGTCCTGGAAGGCGCTGTAGACCCGCAGCATGCAGGTCTGTGGGGTGAAGCCGAAAAACTGCGTCTCGTAGAGTTTTAGAGACGACGGAGAGAGACGGTCCGCCTCATCTTCGACTTCTCCGCGGACGTCCATCTCCTCCTGTTCCCGGGTTTCCCGCGCCATGTTGAATCTGTGACGTCGCTTCTTCTTTTTTTTTTTTGTTTGCGAGTTAAACGAGCTTCACTGCCACCAAGTGGTAGGAAGCGTGAACTGCTAATATTGATTTTTAATAAATTATAAAATATTGACAAAATAAATAACAAAAATAATAATAATGAAGAACACACAACTATCGTATGCTTTTAATTTGTTTTAGATTTTTAAAAGGCTGCTCACTGAAACAAAATTGAAAAACTCTTGAAATGTTTTCCATATAAATTTAGATTAGGATTTAAATATTAGTCATTTAAACAGTGCTGTTATTGTTTAAAGAGGTTAAAAATTGCACTCAATCCACCTGCCATTCTTGTGATTCTAAAGAAAATAGTACGCAAGATTAGACCAGTGTACAATTTCTAAAATATATATATATACTCTTTAGCAATCTGGAAAGTTGAAAATTAGTCGTTGCTTAGAAATATATTGAATTGACAAGGGGCTGAGAGTTGATCTTGCTTGGTTTTATAGGGTCACAAGACTGGAAGTCACCAATGAGTGTAATTTTGAGTTTATTAAGAGCACATGTTGTGATGTCATCTAAACTTTCTGGGAAAGATCATATAGCTGTACCTTTTTAAGATGACTGCCCACCAGATATGTAGCTCTTGAGTTTTATTTTGGTCATGTCAAATTTCTGGTTTGTCAAAGATTTGGGAAGTTATGTTGAAATGCTGTGTCTTTTATCAGCTCTTAATACCTTTTTAGCATGTTTATGACACCACCATCACCAAGCCCCTTTACTCTCACTGAAGATTAAAGTGAGCACCAACATCTAATTTTATTAAATAAAAAGGCTCTATGGTTTTTAAAGACAGCTGTAGTTTTCAGCAAATATGACTGGGGTGAGACATTACAAATTTTTGGCCCATTGCACTATTATGATGACAAAACATTCCACCAGGTAGAAACATGTCACTTACTAACATGCTTAAATAGTTATTGGAGAAAAACTGGAGATCTGTGTGCCACAATGCATATGAATAGGTCGTATCAGACTTTGGCCACATTAGTATTTATTAAACTCAGGCAAAGTCGTATTTTGTGTAACGTTTGTAGGTTATAATTCCTTGTTTTTAAATGACTGTACGGTTTTAATCTCAGTGTTATAGTTGTTTGGTTTATTCGTAGAGCCATTTTTGTTTTTCTACTGGAGAGCACTAACGCTGCTTTTTAAAGAAAGTCCATATAAATAACTTGACTTTAAAAATCTCGAGCTTTCTATATATATTTTTTTATACTGAATTACTTAAACGCTTGTTTTCTTCCCTGATTTTTATGGATTAATTCTTGTCTTGTTTCAATTTGGTGTATTTATTTTATAAATTGAGTTTATCTTTCGTTAAAACGCCCGTTCACAGATTTTAAAAAGTGACGTAACACGTACACGTCGGACCACGCCCCCTTGCTGGAAGTAAACGGACATGCGCGGCTGCTCACTTCCTCAACGGCTGCTGCTTCTTTTCGGGTCCGTCTGTGTTGATAGCGGCTTTTGCTTCCACACGTGCAATCATTCCTATGTGAATCTCCGTCTTTCGGACCCGCTGATCAACTCGTCCTGCTCTGTCAGAATAGGTAAAGTAACCGTCGAAGCTCAGTATCTGATGTTTCTCCAACTGCGCAGCCGCTCGCATGGCGGGGGCAGAGGTTACTGCTGGAAGTTTAGCCGGGTTCGCTCCTGTTAGCTCGGTCATGTTAGCTAGCTGATGCGTCTACTTTTTTTGTTGTGGCGTTGCTAACGTTAGCTAGCTAGCTAGCAGCTGGAACTAGCGACGTTGGTTAAGCAGCTGAAATGTAACAAATGCACTGTTTTATGCGTGTGACCCTTTACGTGGAGCTAAAATGTGATGTTCTCCCTCCGTGTCGTTTACTCTCCAGGTGTAAAGACATAGAAACCGACAACCATGGGAGCATATCTGTCGCAGCCTAACACGACCAAGAGCTCTTCCGATGGCGGCAACAGCAGCATGAGCTACGGCTTCTCTGCCATGCAGGGCTGGCGGGTCTCCATGGAGGTGAGGCGGAAAATGAATGGCTGGATCAAAGACAACCATGTTGCCGCTCTGCTTCCTTGAACGCAACGAGGGGAAAATGTGTATTGAGTTTTAAATGGCGGGCTAAGAGGACGCCAAGCTTTTCTCTTTGTATGTTTGTTTGCATGTGGTTTGTTGGTGTCTCCTAGAGATCCAGTGAGTCAGTCCTAACCTGACTGTTCCACAGAACCAGCAGCACTGATTGGTGATATTCATAATTCGTCCTCAGGGTGTTTTTTTTTTTTAGCATGCCAAGTTACATTGTTAGCACTCTCCCACAGCGTCCAACAGCATGTAATTGGTGTCTGCTGCTGCTGCCTTGTGAAGGAAGTATTTCACTGGAGCTGACAGGGTGTTTCAAACAGATCTGGTGTTTTTTTGTCTCATTTTGTTAAGTGATGACAAAATCAGACACATACCCCCAATTATGTAGCAGCCAATTGGCTTTAATACATCAGCTCTCAAGGGAATAACAGTGGCTACTAAGTGTATGGATCAGTAATTTAGTCAGACATTTATGAACATGTTTAGTGATAAGTGTGTGGGAGCAGAAACTTAATTCACCTGCCAACATCATTTGGCAAAAATATGTATATAACCCACTGAGCCCCAAGCATTTCTTAGTGTTTATTGCTGCTGTATTTTTTTATTCACTGTAAGCTAATTTTTCACTCCAAGATGAAGTCATCTGCCTCTATGGAAACAGTACAACCATTGCTAGAAGTAGAGAGTACTCATAAACAATTTTCCTAGCGCCCCCAGCTGTTGCCAGCGCTGTGAAAAATGGTGACCTTGCATGCTATACATATTTTGCTACTTAGATTTTCGATTTGTCGCCACACTTTACTCATATCTCGACTGTGTAAACACTACTGGCATGTCAGTCCCTGAATTTTTGTCACGCGACGTTTGGTTGCAGCAGTCACAAATGGTTTCACATTTGCCCTGGAAAGTACAGAACTTATGTTTTTTTTTTGTTTTTTTTTACAGAGTCTGGTTTGTGCAGACTGTGCAAAAGGGTGACGTTTTATATGAAACACGTAGAGTACAATGATTTTGATGAAATATCACCATTTTAAGCTTAAATATGGTTCATTTCCAGTGAGAACACATCTCAGAAGAGTCTTTCAACATAAGTCAAAGTTTAAAAAGATTGTATTTTTTATTTAGTGTCTTATTCTGATAAAATAAGTGGTTTGGACCTTTTTTTCAAACCTTTCAAACCTGCCAACAGGTTGGGAGGTTCACAGAATTTAAGTATATGACAGAGTGAGGATAGAATCTGTATTTATTTATTTTTTTTCATTATCTTATCTCTAACAGGCCTGTTGTAAGATCACAAGTTGCTTTGTTACCAGAAGATGAATTTTAATTTTGCTGTAATTTGTCTGTGTCACAGGATGCTCACAATTGTATCCCAGAGTTCGATGAGGAGACGGCCATGTTTTCTGTGTACGATGGACACGGAGGTAACATACTGAAACTACAGAGTGCTTCTTCTATGTATATTATTTTGTAGTGTGCCACACTGCAGCGTTTGTTTCCTTCAAACCATATTTCAGAGGCACCAATGTTCCTTCCTTTTCGAATTTTGGATCACAACACACCCAACTGTGTCAAGTGCTTTTATGGTTTTCCTCATTTTGTTGTTTGCTTTACACACCTATATAACTGCTCCCACAGCTGCACACACCTATCGTATGTTTTTATATAACCCGCTGTGCCCTTCTAGGTGAAGAGGTGGCTCTGTACTGTTCAAAGTACCTTCCTGACATCATCAAGGAACAGAAAACCTACAAGGATGGCAAACTTCAAAAGGTGAGAAGCCATAAAAGTTAGGGAATGACCTATTCACTCTAAATAAGTTTGACTGAGAAGAGATCTCCATGACCAGATGTGTGCTGCTTGGTTGTGGCATAGTTGCAAATCAGTTTCTTCACCTCCCTCCTTCTGCTCTACAGTACTGACGTGTTTGCATGTTGTCCCCAGGCGCTGGAGGATGCCTTCTTGGCTGTCGACAGCAGAATGACCACAGAGGAAGTCATCAAGGAGCTGGTCCAGATCGCTGGACGACCCACTGAGGAGCCTCCTGCTGAAAAGGTGGCAGAGGAGGACGACTGTGAGTACACCTCTGACAATGTTTGGTATGGATGCAAGTTGTAATGAACATGTGAAAAAGCTCTTTGATGTTGAATGGCAAGGTAGGATTGGAGTATTGAGATCCAGCATTATGCAGAAAACCAGAAACTAAGTTGTAAAAAGCCATTCGTACTACAAAAAGTACTGTAAACACTTCTGGTAGATTAAAACTTCAGTGCTGAATCCTAAAAGTTCTGTTTTCATGTTTCTGCCTTGTTTTCAGTGGACACAGAGGAGGCAGCTTTGCTCCACGAGGAGGCCACCATGACCATAGAGGAGCTGCTGATTCGCTATGGCCAGAACCGCAATGCTGTCAAACATGCTGCGGCCCTCAGGTAGTCCAACAAACCTACTAATATGACAGCTCATACAAGGACTACCATTACTATGATGGTGAAAAAGTTTTGTGAACCTTGAAGAGAATTTGAAATGAAGATTTAAACTTCCCGAAAGTGTTACTTTATGGTGCAAGTTAGCAAATACAGTCATCACAAAAGTTTAGGACTTCAACAAACTATTATTGTCATTGTTGATTGTTCTCCCAATTAAACAATTAGCTGTTTAGTTTATAAAATGTCAGAAAATTATGAAAAATGTCAATTAGTGTTTCCCAAAGCCGAAGATGACATCTTCAAAGGTCCTGTTTTGTTCACAACCTAAAAAACTTCAGGTAGCTGTCATAGACGACTAAAAAAAACAGTCAGTAATCAAATTCAAAGCACTGTAAGTCACACTAGTTTCTTTTTACTCAAACTGATTTATTTATTTATTTATTTGTAAAATAAATACATATTTGGGCCTCCCAGCTAGACAAGCCCTGGTTTGCTTCCCAGTTAGGACATATGGGATCTTTCTATGTGGAGTTTGCATGTTCTCCCCGTAGGTAACTGGTGATTCTAAATTGTCCGTAATTATTTTATTGTAATAGTTGACAGCTAATTGATTAACCTCTGAAGTTTGTTAAATATCATCACTGTCCTGTAACTGAATAGATCTGTTGGACAGAATCTTCTAAATCATACAACTCAGTTAGTCCGGTGTACTTCTTTTAATATCAGCCGCGATACCAAAGCAGGTATTGTTCTTTTGTTTGTTTGTTTTTCTTCACCTTGTGAGTCTGTGTTAGTGTCAAAATGTTTCCCGGAGACACCTGCTGTAGCAGGAACTACCACATATGTGGTTTTAAGGAATCTGATGTGTGTCTGTGAACAGACTTTGTCAACACAATAATGTTCCAACTGTGCGAGATAGATAACTTTACAGGCGTGTAGCTGAGATCAAAGTGAAGGCTAAGTTCAAAGATGGAAGTGGACCAACTTGTTAATACTTACGTAATAATTTAGTGATTACTTACATGTGGACTTAAATTACATGGCAACATGGTCTCTAGTTTCATTTTGTTATCTCTATTTGGTTCTAGTGCCGCTGCTAAGAAGGCGTCCTGCCCGCATCCCGAGGCCTCGACAGGCAAAGGAGAAAGTGTTGACGGACCGAAGAAAGAGGGGCTGAACGGAGAGGTGGAGGAGGAGAGCAACGGGAAAGTGAAGGAGGGCGAAGGAGCATCGTGCGGGTCCAAGCTGCGAGCCTGTCGAAGAACAGGAGCAGGTGAAGGCAGTGGAGCAGGTACAGAGATGACGTTCAAGGGTCTTTCAAAGCAAATATGAAGGTTAAAATATTCCAAGTGAAGACAGACAGAAATTTAATGTATGAAGACTAATTGCCTTTCAACAACAACTTAAACTGTATCTTAATACTGTCTGCTCTTGCATTAATCAAAAATCTCCAAACACTGAGCAGTTGCTGTTTACAAGTATGTGAAAAATGTGTAGCCAAGCACTTGATCCAACATCGTCTAATCTGTTCTGCTTTGCACATATAGTCGCTCTTTGCTCTGCTTGTCCAATGTCTCATGTTGCTCCTGCTTCTCCCCGACAGCAGCCGACTGTGGAGAGTCAGGAAGCTCCAATGGAGAAGAAAAGGCCGGAAAGGCAGAAGGAGATGCAGGTCCTTCCTGCTCCTGGTCCTCGAAGGCTGCAGCACATTCCAAGTCGAGGTTCTTTGATGACAGCGAGGAGTCAGAGGAGGGAGAGGAGGAGGAGGAGGGCAGCGATGAAGAGGTGAGAGCAGGAGACAAGAATAAAGCATTGGGTTGGCTGTGAAAGTTCACTCTGAATAACTTTGTGAGCATTGTTATAATCGCTTTGTCTTTTTTTTTTTTTTTAAATCAGGATGGCAGTGAAGAGGAGGAGGGAGACAGCAGTGAGTTGGAAGAAGAGGAGGACACAGAGGAGGGAGAGGAAGACTCTGAGGATGAAGAGGAGGAGGAAATGTGTCTGCCAGGGATGGACGGCAAAGAGGAGGTGTGTACAAAGAGGACGACTGAAATGAACAGATCAAGTCCTGACACAGTGCAGGCGAGACATTATATACCTGATTTTAGGGCTGTCAGGACTTTGTAATGGCCTTTTCAGATAGTGAGTTAAAAGCTAGAATTTATTGACTTTAGAATGAAGCTCAAAAACATATTATAATCAGAATCTTGACTATTTTAGCTTCCAAAATTCCTTTAAGGAGAGCCATGGTGTCATTAGTGTCATTTGTATTGTTTCTAATGACATGCGGGTCTGAGCAGGCCATTTGGCTGCAGGTGAAATGTTGTTATTGTGTTATAGTTATTGTCCATCCACAACAACCAAGTGGCAGTGACGCTTAGAGCAATGATGTTATCACTGGGAGCCAGCAGTCAGATATTAGTTGATGTACTGACAAATCAGATTCTCTTAGTTTAGTGAAGTTGTTTAGCATCATCGGTGCGCTTTGCATCTATTGGAATCAGATGCTCTTGGCATTATTCAAAGACTAAGTTACGAGGCATCAGTGTCGACAATGAGAAGTTGGAGACTTTGTGAGGCCTTCCAGGCCTATTGGCAGCATTTGTGTAGCTGTTTTCCTGGTGCTCTTAAAACCAGAAACTTTCTTCCTTGTCACTTTTGAGAATCAGCCAAGTTAGCAGTTGATGTTTTTTTTGTTTTTTTTAGCTATTTAAAGAGCATAACAGTAATTTCAAGCAATTAATCCAGCAAACAGCTGCTTTAAATTGGCCACAGAAGCCAAATGAAATGATTTGTGATGAATGATTCAATGAAAGAATCTCTTGTGGCTGCCTTCCAGTCTTTTCTCTGCCGAAGCGTCTGAAAGCTTCAAAGCTGGTTGTTCTCAGTCACTGGGTTTTGTCATAAAATAAATTGTAGGAATGCATTCGTATGGTTGGTCTGTATCACGTAAAGATGCATCAGTGTAAGAAACCATAGAGTTTTAACCATGTGTCACGTCTGCTGTGTTTGTGTGCTCACAGCCCGGCTCAGACAGCGGCACCACGGCTGTCGTGGCTCTGATCCGAGGGAAGCAGCTGATCGTGGCCAACGCTGGAGACTCCCGCTGCGTTGTGTCTGAACGCGGTAGGTTCTAAACACTTGGTGCAAGTTTACCTTTTCTTTTTTGTTGTTGTTTCAAAACCAAAATGTGCACAAAGGGACTTGGATGTTTCAGTGGCTTTTGGCTGCTCTGAGTTGCCTTAATACTTCATATGTATTTTATTTAGAAGTTAATCTTACCAGTTGATAACCTGTTTCACTTGTTTTAATATTTTATTCTATTTTATTTTGTTTTGCAGTTACATTTTGCTCCTTTTATCCTGTCTTGATGGTTTGCATGAGATTTTGTTGAAATGAGGACACAGTGGTGGTGGTAACTGCTACAACAGCACGAGTTCAGAGTTGATGTTAATGAATGTCGTTTGAATTCTCGTTGCAGTCCCCTTCTGACGCTTTATAATGCCTTTTTTCTATTAACGTTTGGGTCTGACTCTTTAATAGTCGCCACTGAGATGTGAAGTGCCAAAAGGTGTAACAAAATGCTTGAATGAAATACAACAGCTCTATTCCTGTATCTCTTTAGGCAAAGCTGTCGACATGTCGTACGACCACAAGCCAGAGGACGAGGTGGAGCTCGCTCGCATCAAAAATGCTGGTGGGAAAGTGACCATGGACGGACGAGTCAACGGTGGACTGAACCTCTCCAGAGCTATCGGTAGGCGACTCTTCCAGTGACTTTTAGGTTTGACTTTGGTACTCTTGTACAGCCTCCTGTTATTTGATTTAAAATTAGTGCATCTTAATTAAACTCTGAAGCAGCGTTTGGTCGGTACAGCTGCTTTCTGCTTTGGATTCACATAATCAACATACAATGTTTCGCCTCTTCTGCGATGACGGTGCTTTTAATCTGAACTCTGACTCTCAGGTGACCACTTCTACAAGAGGAACAAGAGTCTGCCACCAGAGGAGCAGATGATTTCCGCGATGCCCGATGTCAAAGTTCTTACTCTCAACGAGGACCACGACTTCATGGTCATTGCCTGCGACGGTATCTGGTGAGTTTGAACAGCAATCGGCAGTTTGTTCCAGTAACGAGATCTTCATTTGGAGATATCTTCTTCATTTCCTTGTTTTGTTTTTTTTATATACAAACAACTGTAAACAACTGCCCACAATCAAAGTTATATAAGCCAACAAGTAGGGATGTCCAACATTGACATAAAAATGTAATATCTGTCAATATCGTTATCAGGTTTTTTTGCCTACAATGAAAACCAATAAAATAATGCCTGGATCTCACCGGCATTTACCGGCACGTAAATGATGATGAAATCAAACTGCGTCGTGAAGCGTGCAAACAAGTGTGGCTGCAGTAACAAACATATATCGGTATCAGTTGATATCAGAAATTGAGAGTTAGACAAACTCTGCATATTAGATATTGGCAAAAAAGCCAATGTCAGACATCCCTACCAACAAGCCTCACTGTCAAGAAGTGGAGGGAATGTTGACAGTATGAGTGCAACTGTGGATCAAAATGTCAAAGAATGGATATTTTCACAGGATAAATTGTCTTGTTAATAGATTGAGTTTTTTTTAAGTTATTTTTTTGGCCTATTTTGCCTTTATTTGAGAGTGCAGTTGAGAGAGAGAAAGACAGGAAAGTGTGGGAGAAGAATGGGGGAAGGACCTGCGGAAAAGGGCAATGAGTGGGATTCGAAGTCATGACCTCCGCGTTGGGAACTATAGCCCCTGTACATGGGATGCTAGCTCAACCAGGTGAGCTATAGCGGCACCAATAGATGAAGTTTTTGAGTGTTTCTCTATTTCTGATGGCAGGAATGTGCTCAGCAGTCAGGAGGTGGTGGACTTCATCAGTGAAAGGATCAAACCCGACCAGAGTGGCAAAGCCAGACCTCTCTCATCCATAGTGGAAGAGGTGAGAGTAAAAACTAATGTCATTTCGAACGACTTTGTAGTCATTATGCCACCTGAATTTCCTCACATTATCCACGATTTGCATCTTTAATTTCACACACCTTGTATCTTCCTGACAGCTGTTGGACCACTGTTTGGCCCCCGACACATCTGGAGACGGGACGGGATGTGACAACATGACCTGCATCATTGTCACCTTCCGGCAACACCCGTCCCCCACTCAGTCAGACGACACAAAGAAGAGGAAGCACCAGGAGGGGGCAGAAGGGACTGAGTCGGAGGAGAACGGAAACGACAGCAAAAAGGCAAAAAGTGACTAAAAGAAGAGAGAAACTATCCCAGAGGGAGCAGCTGGTCTAAGGCTACCCCAGATACACCAGAGACACATTCTGTTCAAAGTTAAAACCTTACCTCACAGACAACATTTCACCCTGAAACAGACATCACAAAGGCTATATACATGCTCAAAGATCAGCTGAACTAAGACCATCACTATAGTGTTTGTGCTCTGTTCTGGGTGGAGTTTCACTTTAACACACCCTGCAGTTGTTTCCTTCAATTGGTCCAGTTGGAACAAAAAAACTGGACACACTTTTAGTTCTTAAATTCAAAAGAGGCACCACTCACTGGCATGCTAAATAGCACAGCAGTTTCCATGTATTTGTAACTCGTAGGAGGCTGCAGAAGGAACCGGTCTACAGAGATTGGTGTCCTTTTTCTTTTTTTTCTCTCTCTCTCTCTCTCTAAACATTTTCAAGGCGCCTCATCTTCCCTGCAGACACGCGCTGCACTCTCATTGTTAAAATCACTTCCCATGTGACTGCTTCAGTTTGCTTCAGCAACATTTTGAGGATAGTTCATGGAGTCACCTGTCTGATCGCTGTGTCTCTTCACATGCGATCCCATTGCGGCTTCGCAGTTTTAAACATGCATGCTACTATTGAGACAAGCTGCACAATACTTTTAAGTGTTGCGCCAACAAAGTGCCATAAAAACTATGGATTCCTTTTTAGGCACTGTTTCACATTCTCCTTTAAGTGAAAACGGAGAAAAAGACCTAAAATGGCTGCGATTGGCTTTGCGTAAAGGTAACCTCAGAAGAATTAATGGAGGATATTATTGTCCCGTGAAACCTAAATTGAAGCTTCACGATGCAGTGAGAATGAGTGTGCTAGTCTAGTGTTGCACTGAATGTGTTGGTACCCTGTTTCAGGCTCCTCTCTGATGTCAATCTCTCAACCTGAGTTCGTCCAGGGGGCAGTTTCTGTGAGTCACTTTGACTCCACCTATAGAAAGAGAGGAACTGATGGATTTGGGGTACTAGTCCAGTTGCTCTAGTTTTCCATTTATATATTTTTACCTATTAGCACCCATTTAAAAGGATATTTTTTCAGTCTCGCTGATCACCAAACAGCCCAAATACATCGCCATTATCCTGCCTTTGTCATTCCTGGTTCGTGTCTTGTCTAGAATAAAATCAATTTCCAGATGGGGGGAAAAAATGCCAGGGTTTTTGGGAGCTATTGTACTTTCCATCTTTTAGATATGATGGCAGGGAGCCTTTTATTTCCATCCAGAGAGAAGCGGTCCACCACACAGCTCGTCTCCAGGACTGCAAGCTCCCTCCAGCCCAGTTACTGTCCCCATCTGTTCCCACTGTAACACCTTTTAAAGATTATCTCTAGGACATGTGTTTTAAGTAAAAAAGTATTTCCACTCAACCTTTTTTTTGTTTTATTTGTTTGTTTGTTTTTCATTTTTGATGAATCAGTCCTTTGGCCGTTTTTTAAACAAATCCTTTTTGTGAGCACACTCTGAAAACGCCTTGACGCTGGACTGTGGAGAGGATGTACGAGGTTATCCTTCTGAGTGGAAATACAATTTGAAGTTCAGAGCACCAAGACAGTGTAACTGTTTAGAAGTTTGTTTTCTTTATTTGCAGAAACCTCATATACAACATTGTGTGACTGTAAGTTTGTTTCTAGTGTACTATCTTGTCACCATGCCCTTTTTTCTGTACATAGTTTTTTCAATACTTGTAATTGAAGAAAAAGAAAACGCTTTTTCTTTGTAATTGTGAGTCAATGTGACATTTTTGGTGCATACTCTTTTGACACCAGTATGTAAGTACATACAAATACATTTTTTTAAATAATCAGAACTGTATTCCTGTGTGGTTTCTTCTTTTTTTCGCTGTTTTATTCTGTGTTTTTTTTCCCCGTATGATTCTGTTCATAGATTTGATGTCGGTTGAAGAAGTTAAACTCGGCAAAACATTCCTATCTTGCACAATTTGAAACTCCCAGTCAGACAGTAAGGGGCTTAATCATAATGCTGAAGCATCATGGAGACCAAGGAGGTATTGGTTTGAAGTCATCAGTGTTTTAGGTGTTTACAAAGGCTTCACAAATCTGAAATTAGAAGTGAGATGCCTGCAGGGCTGAGTGAAACTGAAACTCAAGTGTTAATGGCTCCTTAATTCAATTCAATTCAATTTTATTTGTATAGAGCATATTTACAACAAGAATTTATCTCATAGCACTTACAAAGGCAGAAACACCCAACAATCCAAAACATTTGGATTCCCTATAAGCTTCAGCAGTCCGCAAGCAGTCCGCAACAGTGGGAAGGAACCAAAAACCTCTGCAGTGGAAAAACACATCCGACAGAACCAGGCTCAGGGAGGGACGGCCATCTGCCTCGACCGGTTGGATGGATGTGGGATGAATTATACAATTTAGTGTACAGTTAAACAAGTTATTAGAAATTGTTGTCCCTTTGTTCCTCCATTTCAAATGGACCAATGAAATATTCCATTTCGTAGTTGGTGGAGGTAACAGGAGGCATCATGGTGGGGGCAGCAGGATGCAGAAGGTGAGGCCAGCGGCTGTAATTCAGGAGCTCCAGATCCAGAGACATCCAGAGACATCCACAGAGAGAGCAGGCGCAGGAGAACCTCGGGGGGAGTCACAGAGTTAGTCATATGTAACGGTGATATACACATATATATAAAGAAGAGAGGAGAGGAGAGAAGCCCAGTGCATCATGGGAATCCCCCCGGCAGTCTAAACCTATAGCAGCATCACTAAGGGAGAGCTCAGAAGACTCCGAGCAGCCCTAACTATGAGCTTTAAGAATATTATCTCCCAACTAGTCAGTCAGAACTGATGAAGCCTCTTGGATGAGAGATGAAACGTCTTCAAGGAACTCGAGCAAGTCCAGCTGCTACGATTAAACAGCGAGAATATCCATGACCTGGATGACTGAGAATCTTCACAGACAGCTGAGTGGACCGCTAATGTACTCACACAGTCCTGCAGGAGGCAGCAAAGACAGCGGTTGCACTGTGTTCTGTAAGGCGTTATATATTCTACTATATACAGTATATATACACCAATCTGCCAAAACATTGCACCCACTGTGAGGTGAAGTGAACATCACTTTTTATCTTCTTACAATGGCACCTAAGGGGTGGGAGATATCAGGCAGCAAGTGAACGGTCATTCCTTGAAGTTGGTGTGTAAAAGGCAAGAAAAATGGGCGACTCTGAGCAACTATGAAAGGCCCAAACTGTGATGGGTAGACGACTTGATCAGAGCATCTCCTGAACCGCAGGTCTTGTGGGATGTTTGGTGGGGTCATAAACATTTAAGGCTTATTGATGTGTGTGGGGAGACGACTGGTTCACAGAAGAGCTACTGTGGCACAAACTGCTGAAAACTTTAATGCTGTAATGACAGGTGTCAGTGCATCATAGTTTCGCTGTGTACAGGGCTGAAAACACCTTCAGAGAGCATGTGAGCTTTAGAGCTGGACCTTAAAGCAAAGGGAGAAGGTGTCCTATCAGACCTGGAGATGCACTGTGGGAGGAAGACAAGCTGGTGGAGGCAGTGTGATGCTTTGGGTTGAATTCTGGTTCATGTGGGTGTTACTTTGACATGCACCACCCATGTAGGTGTTACTTCTAGAACGCATACATGAGGAAAAAAAATTGAAATTATTTGAGGAGCAAAGAGTTCAAGGTGCGGACTGGTGTTAATGTCTTGGTGCCTGATACCACAGCACGCCATCAGAGGTCTGGTGGAGTCCGGACGTTAATGGCTGGGAGCTGGGCTTCAATGTGATCAGTGCATTGTGTTTCCGTGAAGCAAGGAGAGGTAACTATGTGGCATGTAGGACAAAGAGTCAGGGGAGTTTCATCCCAACCTGAGCCCACAGCTGCTGACTCATACATCCTAAACCAGGTCAATCAAACTGACCAGTAAAATCACGTCTTTGAATCAGATTTTATCCTCCGTAATCGCCGGCCTTCTACGGGAAGCACATTATGTCGGTTATGCTTTAAATCTCCACAGAGACAGCATCGTAAAAGAGGACAGACTTTAGTCCCCATCAGCCTCGGGGTCTCTGCGTCCTGCCCTTCCATTGGCTGCTGCTCCACAGTCCTAGTGGCTGCTCTGCTCCCCGAGGATCGCTGTTGCTGCAGGAACAATAGAAAGCAAGAGAGGAAACACACACTGTCCTTGGAATCTAAAAATGTCTTTGCAGACACACACACACACACCCAAACACTGATTTTCTCTCCGTCTTTAACAGGCAGGATGTTTTTTGTTCTCGTGGCGTAGATTAGCAGCTTCTGTGGTGCGTGTGGATACATGGAGTGCGTGCAAAGTTTGTTAGTCTGGGTGTTCGTTCTCGTGCTAAGAGACAGAAATACGGGCCAGAACACAACACAGTGTGAATGTGACTGTTTTGTCCTTGGACATGTAATAAATATGATTTAATCTCTTCTTAGCTGGACTTCTGTCCGTTTTTCACCAAACTGCAAACATGAAATTACCGTTGCGGGAGCGTTTTCAGCTACTGAAAATCAGGGAAATAGTTTTTATCCTCCGCTTGGCTGTTTTTCCAGATAATGGGGACACCATCCAAAGCAGTAGCGAGCTGATTTCTCATTGCAAAATGTTTCTTAAAGGCTCCCACTATGGAGCTCAATGATGGCCTTGTCCAGCTGTGTGTGTTGTGGGAGTTGCTTCTGTCTCCAGACTCCTAAACCTGACTGATGACCGTGAAAGAGAACCACAGGAGTCCGACTAGACCTTGTATATATAGAGCTGTGTGTGTGTGTGCGTGTGTGTGTGTGTGTGTGCGTGTGTGTGTCCCGTCTAGCCAACAGGTCCTATATAGAAGGCTAGACCACAATAGCAGGTTGTAGTTAGACACTGCAGGCATTCATCAAGACTTGCGCAGTCTTTTTCGATCTGCTGCCCTCGCTCCTAAAACTGCGTCGGCCCCGATGCCCTCACATTGCTCAGAGTTTAGCAGCGTCCCAACACACACAAAGACACACATTCCAGCGGTCACAGTAGTGCCGTTAAAATATGGGGCTCTGAGCAAAAGTAGTTTATTATACGGTCTTTTTTTCAGAGGCGCACACCTCCGATCTCCACTTCTGTTACTGTTATTATCTGCAGGACTGGTGCATGTGATGTGGGACAATAACAATATTATTAATATTGGAGGTCGTACAGCTCGGGTCCAGTGTTTCTGGAGCTATACCTGGAAGCTGCCTGATGTTCTCCCTGATCGCATTGTTTATATAATGTAGGTTTGCCATCTATCTAGAATGTTGTCACCCTGATTCTCATTTCACTGCTTTGGTCTTTCCTTTAAACAGCATCTATTAGAAGAGGGATCCCTCCTCAGTTGCTTTTCCTGAGGTATCTTCCAAGAGGCATGTTTGTGATTTTTTCTCGTAGTTTAATTGTAGAAATTGGACTTGCTTGAGTTTCTTGAAGACTTGGTTTCAGTTGGGGGTTTGTTGAAACCCCCTTAAGGATATAAGTACATGGAACTCCCAACTAGTCAGTCAGAACTGATGAAGCCTCTTGGACGAGAGGTGAAACGTCTTCAAGGAACTCAAGCAAGTCCAGTTGCTACGATTAAACTAGGAGAATAACCATGACCTGGATGACTGAGAATCTTCACCGACGGTTGTGATTTATGATGTTGGACTATTTAAATAAAATGTGCAATATATGACACCGTTTTTTTAAAACTCAAACTCAAATCTTAAATCTGCACTTGTCAATATGTTTCTATTGCCAGTGGATTAACTGACCATGTGTGATGTGAAAGTAGTTGCTCACAGCGACAGACTCACACCACTTTACGTCCTCTGTGGAGTATTCCATCTTTCAGCTCCTTGTTTTGCTTTTTCCAGTGCACATCTCTGCAGTATTGGTTTGTTCTCACAGTGTTGTCTGCAGCAGCGACAGCAGATATTTTGAGTGAAAAAGCTCTTAAAAAGCGCTGCACACTGCCAGCTCAGCACCAGATAGACACAAATAGCAACTAGCTGGCAAACACTGGAGCATTTAGAGGCTAAAGAGTCCAGCTAAGCAGCTAAATCCATCAGCTGGACAGCAACATTAGTCCAAGTTAATGTTCATGTTGCTCCACATGTGCTGAGTGCGTAAACTGACAAAGAGCTAACGTGCTCAACATATCAGCTTTATGAGCTCATATTATGTTAATGTTGTGTTTACAGAGCGGTGCACGGCGGAGCTGTGGTCGGTCAGCTGGGGCCTTTAAATGTTCTCCCTGTGCCTGTGTGGGTTTTCTCCAGGTGCTCCAGTTTCCTCCCACACTCTAAAGACATGCTGAGGTTTATTGGTGACTTGAGACTGGCTGCAGGTGTGAGCATGCACGGCTGTCTGTCTCTTTGTGGTAGCCCTGCAATTCACTGGCGACCTGTCTGGGGTGCGCCCCGCCTCTCACCTAATGTCAGCTGGGATAGGCTGCAGCCCCCATGCAACCCTGTAGACACAGGATGAAGCAGGTATGGCTGATGGATGGATGGATGTGTTGCACCCAAGAAACTTAATTCAAGTTTAATGGCAGTAATTACATTTCTTTTTTTCTTCTTTTGACGTTTGCCGATTATCTTTTCCAATATATTGCGTACTTTGTTGTTTAATTACATCCATTCTGTTGCAGAGATGTTGTGTGTTCCAATAAAAACACGTATTATCCTATGCTAAAAAAGAATGGATGGAAGTTCAAGAAACAGTAGATGTTGCATTTATGTTTTTGTTCATATACATTTCAGCCTGAACAAACTCATCCTCATTTTTTAAATCTAAAATTCAAAGACACACA